ATCAATAATCATACATACCTACAGTAAAGCACTCGTAATCTTTTACATGTATTTTGGAAATTACGATTTTAAAAAGTAATTTATTTGGTCTTATCTATTCCAGCAATTTTTGCGTCTACTTTTAAAATCAGTCTTCATCTGCTCGATACAGAAAAGCTCTTAATAATTTTTTTAACTTTTTGCTAAGGTATACGTAACTTCAAAGCACTAAGCTACTACAGCTAGGAAATTTGAAATCGTTTTGCTAGAATATCGCTAACTTTCAAACATTACTTACTTACAGCTAAGTTGCGTCAATATTATTACTTGTATTTCTTATGGCAAGCCGTCATTCATTTTAAATATTAATATATTAAGTGGAAATTTATAAAATATTCAACAAAACACAAGTTCTAAGTAACTGCTGAACATTGAACTTTTTGGAAATTTCAATCATACGAAGTACCTCCTTTTAGTATGAATAAAGCTACTTGTAAGGATTTGTATTTCTAAAGCTCATCGTTATATTTCCCAACAGTAAGTCGCTACGGTAATAAATCCAAAGAAAGTAACAAGTTCTCTGGGAAAACAGGCATACACATATCACCCACGTAATATATTATGAGGCTCAGAGTTATAAAGATTTAGCCTAGTGTTCATATTCCCTCTAGAGTTACCCAGCCGACAAGTTGCTGCAAAAGTAATGATAATGTTCAAGTTGAAAGAATACATGTCATGAAAAAAGTTGACTATTTTTTTCGTAAGCATTTAAATGATTTTGGTAATCAGATTAATTCAAATTTCTTTCTTAACCCTTAATTAAACATTTAGTGGGAAATACAATGTGTCCGGGCATGTAGTGATCAAACTTTAAGGTCGTAATTTATGGACAATTTTGTCGATGAAAATACTTCAAATTTGGGACTTGACCCATTTCTCGCAAAATTACAAGGATTTAAGTTTTTAATTTTTAGTTTTCACCTCTTCCTTCAAAAACAAGTGAAAACGTGGGTAACTTAACATTAATAAGCAAATATTTTATATCATGCGATAGCCAATAAAATTGTCTACTAGTAGAAGTAGAAAACAGACACAAGTTTTATACATTTTAATGGAGTAAGAATGGATTTAATTAGAAAAAAACATGACTTTTTTCACTTTATTTTCAGTTATTTTCCAACACAAGAAAAACCAGGTCGTTAAGGTATATTTTATTTGCATTATTAGTATTTGAGCCATTCTACAAAACGAATGTAAATTTATTAGTCTACGTCTATTAGTTTCGACGTAATTGTTGAACAAAGATACCCCTTCCCAGCGGTTTCCATAGCGCACGCGACATGCGAAAATGCACTGCCTGAAAGAATCACACAACCTATTCCGATTACTATGGATAGCGTGGGTAGCTTAATATAAATTGTTAAGCTACCCACGCTATCACTTGTTTTTGAAGGAAGAGGTGAAAACTTAAAATTAAAAACTTAAATCCTTGTAAATATGCGAGAAATGGGTCAAGCCCCAAATTTAAAGTATTGTATTCACCGATAAAATTGTCCATAGATTACGCCCATAAAGTTTGATCACTACATGCCCGGACACACTGTATATTCCGCTCTCCTCCAACCCGTCTGGCCGGCGTGGGTGTAGGCCAAATCCTCCATTTGCCTCTGGTGAATTAAATGTAATGTTCGTCCTCGATCGTCGTCCTGCAGTGGAGACTAAATGACCTGATGGAGTGGGGGAGATTTATTTATTTATTTAATACTAGCTTTTGCCCGCGGTTTCACCCGCGTGAAATTTAGGTTGTCACAGATCATCATATAATATTATTATAGCCTACTAGCGGCCGCCCGCAACTTCGTACGCGTGGATCCCGTTTTAGCCCCTTCATCTATCTTACGCGGTTTAGATTTTTCATACAAATGTTTTTTTCCGCTAACTCCCGTTCCCGTGGGAATTTTGCAATATCCTATTGTAACTAAGCTTTAAGTTTACTAAGGTACCTGCATGCCAAAGGACAATGCCCATTTTACTATGGGAGTCTGTACCATGTTGCATCAACCTGAATTTACTCTCAAAAGTCTAGTTTTTATTTACCTTTTCGCTACCAACATGTTTTTTTCAATGTTTAGCCGGATTTTCAAAATATTTGAAAAAGTTAAAAAACGCCTGAATATTTTTTTTTAGCAATGTTTAATCGTCGTGTCATTGCTATTAATCTATTTATTACAGATATTTATGCGTTTTGGGTCGCATTGCTGTAAGTAAAATGCTTTGCATGTTATAGATATACTTAGTACACTTGCGCAATAAGATGAGATCCGTCCTCCTTCGTCTGCTCCCCCGCACGTGCCGTTTTCGACCTATATCCAAACAAGATTTTTATTCTTATTGCTTACTCACGAAAATAGGTGACAGCTGAAATCGGAACAAAAAAGTTTTCGGAAATGATTTTTTGTACGGAAGTAATTGTTAATCATGTTTCGTATAATTAATTCTAATTTTCTAAATCCGGATAAGAAAAACGGTTAAAAATTAATGAAGTACACATATAATTAAAATATTATTTTTGATGATAATTAGCCTGTGATGCAATTTGGTACAGGTAATGGGCATTGTCCTTTCAAGCGTCTAACTTAAGCGGTTTAGATTTTACATACAAAAGGATTTTCCCGCTAATTCCCGTTCCCGTGGGAATTCCTAAGTATACTATAACCTGCCCAGGAGTATGAAGAATAATTGTACCAAGTTTCGTTAAAATCCGTCGAGTAGTTTTTATTTCTATAAGGAACATACAGACAGACAGACAGACAGACAGACAGACAAAAATTTTACTGATTGCATTTTTGGCATCAGTATCGATCACTAATCACCCCCTGATAGTTATTTTGAAAATATATTTCATGTACAGAATTGACCTCTCTACAGATTTATTATAAGTACCTATAGTAGATTAGGCATACACAAAAGGTAGCAAGGAGGCGCTGGATGCAGGCCGCTACCAACCGTGCTATGTTGAAGTCATTGGGGGAGGCCTATGTTCAGCAATGGACGTCCTATGGCTGAAATGATGATGATGATGATGATACACAACAAGTAACAATCACAAATAATATACAGGGTGTTGATTTCAATCCTCGCCATATTTATTTAGGTGATCTAATAAGACTTATATTATAAACGCATTTATCCACCAAGGCCATTGCCAAGGCTAGAGCCACCTTTGCACAACTTCGCCCCGTATGGCAGTCACGGAAACTGACCAGAAGGGTCAAGATCAAAATTTTCGGGTCCAACGTTAAATCCGTGCTGCTCTATGGGTGTGAAACGTGGAAGGTTACCAAGGTCATCTGCTGCAGGTCTTCGTCAACCGCTGCCTTCGCCGAATTCTCGGCATATACTGGCCTGAGAAAATCTCCAACGTCGAGCTATTGGAACGCTGCCACGAAATTCCGATCGACCAGCAGATCAAGCGCCGCAAGTGGAACTGGATTGGCCACACTCTCCGAAGGGATCCCGATCACATCCCCAAGCAGGCTCTGGATTGGAACCCCCAAGGAAAACGCAAACGTGGTCGCCCCAAGCAAACTTGGCGGCGCACTGTGGCAGACGAGGCGAAGAAGATCGGCAAGACTTGGAGCGAGATCAAACACATAGCTCAAGACCGAACGCGATGGAGGACTGTTGTGGACGCCCTCTGCCCCATCTAGGGGACATAGGACCATAAGTCAAGTAAGTCATTTATCCACCAAAAAAAAAATTACAAACGAATGTGGAATTTTTAGTGAATATTTTTCGTGCGACATCAACTGTACTGTGGCTCGCAAATACTCGCAATACTGCATTACGTTTACACTGCGGCACCATAGAGCTACGCGGATCGCTTGCTTATTATGTCGGTTAGCCTATTGAAGTAAGCCACGTAAAGTAGGTAGTGTAAATAGGTATTTTTCTTTGACTATGTTAAAGTTCGTTTTAAATTTTTTCGAAGTCAATTTTTAGGGTTTTTTCGAAGTCAAATGGCAAAAAACGGAACCCTTATAACTTCGTCATGTCTGTCTGTCTGTTTTTATCCCGGGGACACATGGCCGATTTAGTTATTTTTATCAATGAGATTTTTTTACTCGACCGGATATACATACATATGTATTGGTAGTCGGATTTAGAAAATATTTTCAACGATTACATTCATGATCAAGCGGAAATTACCTGCTATCAATGTTTTTGACATAATTATTTTTGGTGTACTAATAATAATGACACATCAAACTAAGCTGCTCTATGGCATCTTATGGATATTGTAATAGGTGTTATTTTGAAACAATAATGTCAACACTGAGATTATCGTATGATAGATAGATTTATGATATAATAATTATTATCAGTATTGTAATCAGGTTTTATTGGTCAATAGATACTGTTTCAAGAATATTTAGATTAAATTTAAAAAATAATTTGGAGTTCCTTCATTTCTATAAATAATGCATATTTTTTTAAATAACGGTCTATAGTCTATTAAACATTAAACATAATTATTAAGAAGCCCAAGTTAACAGTAAGACAACCCAGGACCGAGCCGCCTGGAGACGCATGACGCGGAGGGCCGACCCCAAATAAAATGGGAATGGGCCAGGCAAAGAAGAAGAAGTCTATTAAACATTAAACAACTTCAGAAGATGAAACAATGTAATAGGTGAAAGGCAACGATTGAATACGCATAAAAACGAAATGCAAACCAAATCGGGCGATTAACATGGTGAATACGAAAAGTGACTCCAGCGATCAAATCGCTTGCATGTTGTTGAAGTTTTGTGACGTGAATTAGGCTACAGAATCCAGTCAGTCATATTACTTAATATGTTGAATAAGTAAGTTAACATCAATATTTTTGTACGGAACTTGCATCGGAAAATAAAATTCGCAGTTCACGTTTCCATTAATCGTTTCTTGAAATTATGAATTAACGAGGATTACCTGTTTATTTTAATCCCACCAGTTGAGTGTCTATTTAAAACATAGATCACCAAAGATATAAATAAGGGATTTGGTTAGGCGTATTCTACAATCGCGACTGGCAACGGCTACAATGACACTTCTAACAGCTGTCTGTTCTTTACTGCTCTTAGCAGGTAGGTAACTAAATTATGTTTGTTTAATTCTACTTACCTTATTTTAAGATATTTTGGAAACGGCATCCGAATTTATAAGCGAGATGTTTGATGTTGATGTTTTCTCTTTCTTTTGTCCCTGTCATCTGTTTTGCAATGGTAGGAAATCGAATCTTAACTTCGAACTCCTCCTACGTTGTTCTGATTAATTTCCTTCGGAACAAACTTGACATTCACTGGCTGGATTTTTATTGGCGGTAAGGCTGTAGATCCTGGCTACACAGGAGTTACAGCGGTGGGAATAAGAGGTGGGAATAGTCCCATTAATTGCACATACCAAACTTAAGTGGCAGTGGGCGAGGCACAGAGCGCATATAACTGATAGCCGTTGGGGCAGAAAAGTTCTCGCGACCATGGACCGGAAGATATGGACTAGGTCAGGCCACCCACTAGGTGGACTGACGATCTAGTGAAGATTGCGGGTAGCAGCGTACCTTTGTCCAGCAGTGCACGCCATTTGGCTGAAATGAAAATATCCTTTTTACCAACTTCTAAACATTATGGACTAAATAATATTTTTTACTCTACCAGCGCTTCGAGACAAGTATTTGGGATAGGAAGGACCACAATATAGTTAGTCACCACCACTGTCTGCCGGTTAAAGACAGTCAGTTTAGTAATATTATTAAGGCACTGCTTAATATCAGTTCAGTCAACATTACTGATGTACCTACACCTACATTTTTTGCAGGAGCTTGCTATGCATCCGATAGAATTGTTGGAGGATCTCCGACTACCATCGAGCAGTACCCGTGGATGCTGCAGGTGGAAGGCCAGTCGCTCTATAACGGAGCTTGGGTCTTTATGTGCGGCGGCAACATCTTAAATCAAGCATTTATATTGTCTGCAGCTCATTGTTTTGATGGATCGTAAGTCTTGGGTTTACCACTATCGGTTTATTTACGAGTAGGTGTCTAACTAAAAGATTGTTTGGATTTACAATAAATCAGTATTAAATATTAAATGAGTGCAATTAAAACATTGAATTTTCGGATATATCCAGTTAATTCTGTAACATATTACTGTTACCGTTTGAAAGAGCTCGTGAAGCACTTTCAGGATCAGTAACCAGTTTTCCGATATCTTGTATAGTTTAGAAATAATCGAGTGAGATCACTTTTCGTTTCTACCCTGTATAGCTGAAAATCTGGAGACTAATGTATTTTTTTTTTGTTTCTACTCCAGGTTCTACGCACCGGAATGGCGTCGTATGAGAGCTGGCTCTACCTATATAGAAACTGGTGGAGTTATTGCCTACGTGGATAAAGAATTCAACCACCCAAGCTACGGCTTGAATGCTTACGACGGTGACATCACTGTCGTCAGGCTGAAGAATTTCCTCTCTCTGACGCCATCCATCCAGCAAACCACCCTCATCTACCAAGGAGCTGTCATCCCCGACAATGTTCCAGTTTATCACGCAGGATGGGGAGCGATTGGAGTAAGCATAGAATTTTGTAATTTTTAATTTGGGAAACTAAATTCCTCTTTGTGGATAAAAAAAATTCTCCAAGGTACAGTGAACAGGCATAATCTGGGTAATTTTGTTCCACCATAGATTCCATTACACTTCGGGTGAGATTTTTATTAAGAGCAAGCCCATACTATTTCATTAACATCTTTTTTTAAAGGAACATAACGTTTTCCGTTCGACTGTCCTATTTACTTAGAAAATCGATTGCTTATCTTTACTTATAATAAATCTGTAGAGAGGTCAATTCTGTACATGAAATATATTTTCAAAATAACTATCAGGGGGTGATTAGTGATCGATACTGATGCCAAAAATGCAATCAGTAAAATTTTTGTCTGTCTGTCTGTCTGTCTGTCTGTCTGTATGTTCCTTATAGAAACAAAAACTACTCGACGGATTTTAACGAAACTTGGTACAATTATTCTTCATACTCCTGGGCAGGTTATAGGATACTTAGGAATTCCCACGGGAACGGGCATTAGCGGGAAAATCCTTTTGTATGAAAAATCTAAACCGCTTAAGTTAGACGCTTGAAATTTGGCAAGCAGGTACCTTAGTAAACTTAAAGCTTAGTTATAATAGGATATTGCAAAATTCCTAAGGGAACGGGAATTAGCGAGAAAAAACATTTGTTTGAAAAAATCTAAGCCAATTAAGATAGACGCTTGAAATTTGGCATGCAGGTACCTTAATAAATTTGAAGCTTAGTTACAACAGGATATTGCAAAATTCTCACGGGAACGGGAGTTAGCGGGAAAAAACATTTGTATGAAAAAATCTAAACCGCGTAAGATAGATGAAGGGGGTAAAACGGGATCCACGCGTACGAAGTCGCGGGCGGCCGCTAGTCTATACTAATATTATAAAGAGGTAAAGTTTGTGTGTTTGTATATTGGTTAAATTAATAGGCTAGATGACAAAATTTCAACTATTTTTTTTTATCCACAACGAGGAAGCTCTTGGCCTGTGAGATGATGATGATGGTTTGTCCGTCAGACAGATAATTAGAAAATATTACTCATATTTTTTATTTTCTCTCATAATTAAATGTGTTACATCGAGTTGAAATGGTGCGTTACGTAACGCTTGAGTAGATTTTTTACTCAAAAGTGACGTCACGCGACATTTCAACTCAATATAATACTGTAATTATTCGATCATGAAAAAAATAAAAAATATGTGTCCAGAATTATCTGTGTAATACTAGACTAAATAGAATTTGGACTTCATTACCCAGTCATCATCCCTATTGTAAGGGGTAATCTCGGGATCTACAGAATCGATTTTAAAAAAATTTCACCAATAGAAAGCCACACAATTGCCGAGTGTCATAGGTTATATAAAAAACCGCGCGGGCGAAGCCGCGGGCGGAAAACTAGTTAAGGATGAAGAAAAATAATAAAATCTTTGTTCATTAACAGTATTATCAGCCGGAATCTGAAGTGCTCTTGGACGTTCAAGTCTACACAATCAACAATGACCTTTGCCGTGAACGTTACGAAACGCTAGACGAGCCTTGGTACGTCGTGACCGAAAACATGATTTGCGCTGGAATCCTCGACGTGGGAGGCCGCGACGCCTGCCAGGGAGACTCCGGTGGCCCTCTCTACTTCCAGAATATTCTCATCGGAGTGGTATCCTGGGGACATCTCTGCGCTAACGAGACCTTCCCTGGAGTCAGCGTTGCTGTAGCGTCATACACAAACTGGATCGTAGAAACTGCAGTTTTGTAAACTGATTTCTTTGGTGAATAAAGTAATATGATTCCGATTTTTTGTGTATGTATAATAAAGTTCTTTAATTCTTCATAATTATCCCAGAATCACTGTAAGTATTGTGCGTCTGTCTTAACATTTCTATGCGCTTCGTACAGTCAACTTGTTTCGTGTCAATTGGCTAAAACGAACGAAGTAATAGGTACCTAGCTATTTTTTTCTATGAAAATTTAAATCCAGACTCCTGCAGTTATGAGCACGGCGACATCTAAACTGTGTTATTATACAGGTTTGGTTTTACAAATAAAATATGTCCAAAGTCATAACGATTACTACTTATCACGAAGTTTCCTCAAATTTTATCTGATTCATGTCAAAATGAAATAATAATAATTATGTTTACGATGTAATATTTATCAATATTGACTTTTAAGTAGGTGTTACTGAACAATAGATACGGATCGAATATCGGATTTAGATATTATGAAACATGAGCGGTCTAGTTAGGGTTCCGTGGCCAAATGGCAAAAAACGGAACCCTCATAGATTCTTCATGTCTGTCTGTCCGTCAGTCGATATGTCACAGCCAAACAAAACAAAATAAAAGTTCCGACTCGCACTTGGCCGGTTTTTTTACTGATTCGTGATCAAAATAAGCTACTTAAACAACTCCCCTCCCTAAATATGGCGAGAATTGAAATCAACTCCCTGTATAATATAAAGAAAGTAACACATTCCAATAATTTCAAAATTTAATCTATAACATAAGGGCTCCATTTAAATGGGATTTTGGAAACTGAACTTTTACAAGGTATTAGTAGAATATTAATAGTCCACAATATGCAAATGATATTGCCTAGCTCGCTATTTTATGTACAAATGACAGCACATCAGATCATACATTATTGTTGCAAATTCGTCTCTATTACTTAATACTTAAGAGGCTCGATACAAACTGCCATATCATCGCTTACCTCTCTAACTGACGTAACTGGCATTTTGCAAAATTTTCAGGCGATTAGACAGATCGATTCGTCTTGCGAAATTGATTAAGATGGTGTAGATAACTCAGTTTCGAAAAAAATGTCCGATACGTCAGTTAGAGAGGCAAGCGACGAATTGGTAAGGCAGAACTTAATTAATACAGCGTATCTAAGTAATTACCTAAATTGAATCAATTATTCGTATGTCTATGTGCCATAATTAAAGACGATCTCTTTGTGGATAATTAAACCTGTAATTATCTAGAAAAATATCTCGCTTAGCTCAGTCAGTTTCTGAGTTTTGGGAGAGGCACGGGAAAGCGTTTTTGTAACGTCAAACGTCAGTGAGACTTCAGATCTCCTTCTGATTTAGAATAAACGCAGACCACCGATTTATCGTTGGCCGATAGTTGTGCCCGATTTTAAATTGTACAGGGTGGCCCAGAAGAAAATTCACTTTTGAAAATTCAAGGAAACGAAAACTGTACATTTTTGTAGAACTTTAACTTTTGCAATTTAAAGGAAATTTAGTGCAATTTATTTTTAAATTTACTTTCTTTTATAAATTTTATCGTACATGTGATTCTCTTGATGTTTACAACATTCGGTCAACATACATCAAAATTTTGGAAAACTTTCGTTAGAGTTACCTCGAAATGGATTCAGTATGGACAAATGCTGCAGAGTTTTTGGATTATTAGAGTATACACTGCTCATAAGGGAACTCCACAAAAAGAAGTCTGCTGGAATGAGATTAGAACTTCTTAGAGGCAGAATGATTTCACCCCTGCTTAATTGGTTTGTTGCATTGAAAGAATGATTAATTTTTAAGAGCGCTATACTGGTAGGCTGAAAAGCTTTTTGATTTCAAAGCTGCAAGATTCGCAAGGCTATGACAGGAGCACTTGGTTTTATCAAGATGGGGCTATGTGTAACACTTAAAAAGAGAGCATTTACATGGTAAGAGACATGTTCCCACAAAAATATTTTTTCAGGCAGGGGTGATATCTCCTGGCCACCAGGAAGCCCTGATGTCACTCCGAAAAATTCTTTTTTATGGTGTTACCTTAAAAATAGAGTATACTTTAATAATCCAACAACCATGCAGCAACTAAAGCTGAGCATTCTGCAAAAAATTGAAAATAGGTTTCGAGGTAATTCTACAGAACGCATTTCAAAATTTTGATGTGTGTTGATCGAATATTGTACCTAAGCGTCAAGGAAATCTCTCGGGCGATGTAAATAAAGGTAAATTTAAAAATAAATTGCATTAAATTTCCTTTAAATTGCAATAGTTAAAGTTTTATAAAAATGTACAGTTTTCGTTATCTTGAATTTTCAAAAGTGAACTTTCTTCTGGGCCACCCTGTATGAAGAATCGGCCAAATCAAATCGGTGTAATGTGCGCGCTTCCATACATGACCATACTGATCAACTGCCCGACTAAACTATCGACCGACGAAAAATCGATGTTCTGACGCTCCATAACGTATGTCACGCCCGTATTCACAAACATTACTATGAGGTCTCACAGTGCGCGTGGACGCACAGGGTGACACATGAACCAATCACAGAACTCTATTCAACGCTGTGCGTTCGATTTGCTGCTTCACTTAAGCAAGCATCGTTTGTGAATATGGGTGTTAATGTCGCCCCTCCCGTGCCACTCCCATACCTCAGGCACTGACTGATTTAAGATCTAGACCTGTAAAATAGTACCTACTACTTAGTATTAATTCTGTGGTATTATCTAAACGATGTTAATTAAGAATGTGGGCTTTGTAAACTGAATTACAGAGTAAAAAAAAAATGAAAATTTTATGAAACCTTTCATTTTATCAAATCCCAAATGTTAATTCACAAAGCTTTGGTCTGTTGGCCGTGTAATAAAATCTTGTCGAAAAATTGTTTAAGGGTTAAAAACTCGTTACAGCTATACATATTAAGACGAGAAAAGGATTTTGTATAGGTATTTGAAACTATATGGAATTTAGTACAAAATTGTAGTCAGACGATCCATAGAAGAGTTTTTTTTAGGCTTTTTATAAAGACGGCCATGTTAACATTAGTAAACTGTAGGTAAACAAAAATCTTACCAAGGTTGGTGAGATTTCGCGAATTGTTTCGAAAACGACAAACCCATGATAAATAGGAATAAGCTCGTATTGCTACCACAAAATAAATCTTACACTAAAATAAGTAATAAACTAACGATAAATTTAATTTTCATTTCTCTTGTAAATTATTATGTACGGAACCCTCAGAGCGGGGCACAACTCGAAATTACCCGGTTTCTGGTCAACTCAATAAAACCCCATGCAATGATGAAATCGTCGTAATGTCATTTATTTATTTAAAAGGGTTCCCTTGAGTAAAATGTTGTTTGAACTCCAGATTCAGTTTAATTGCCAATTCCGTGCCACAGACCACAATACAGAAGATTACAGTAAAGTCACTTTAAATACCGTTCTTTCTCTATCAGTCCGACAGTTCGATGGCTCCTACGTATGGTTCTGGCTACTTAAATGGCTCTCCTGTAAAATCAATTTTTTTCACTTACGCCAGTATACGTAAGAGCCATCGAGTTATTGAAATACGCAGAGCTGATGGCCGAAGGGGTAGAAAAGTTCTCGAGTGGCGACCGCGGGCCTGAAGACGTAGTGTGAGCAGGCCACTAGGTGGACCGACGATCTAGTAAAGGTCGCGGAAGGTGCCTGGATACGGGTGGCGCAGGACCGGTCCTTGTGGAAATCCTTGGGGAGGCCTTTGTCTAGCAGTGGACGTAATTTGGCTGAAACGAACAAACGATAGGCTAGTATTTCCCTAATATTTTTTTAGGAAAAAAAATCGATCGACATTTTTTTCCAATCGGATATAAAATTATTGTTTTTTTTTCTATAACAAGTCGAGAGTGAATATATTAGGCACTTACTGGGCAGATATGTACCATCCTAGACTGCATCCCACTTAACATCAGGTGCGATTCTGGTCAAATACCTGCCTTGCTATGCATACAAAAAAATTTAGGTAGGTAGGTACTTCTTACCTGGGACTGTTTAGAAGAACAGTCTTGTCTTTCTTTAAAACGCTATTTTATAGCTACATTAGGTGTCTAACAAACCCTAAGACGAAAAACGACTTAAGTCTATTTTTAAACGTTTTTATTTTGACTTGGGCTGACATCTACCCTACCGATAATCTCTACATCCGGCTTTGGGACTTCACTGGGATTACCTGCCTTCAAAATAAGTACACTAATAGATTCGCTAACTACCTGCACATACTTCCAAATGCTCATAAAGCTCTCCGCCTAACTACGGCAAAGAGCTTTGTTGGCATCTCACAGAGGACATCAAAAGCTAAATCTATTTCTTTAACACACCTTTTTCGTACTTTCTATTTTCCGCCAAAGTGCTTTCTGCAAATCCTTATCGACTCAATTTACATCTAAATAAAATAAAACGTCACTCTCTCAGTAACAAAGTGGAATAAGAATAAGAATAAGAATAAGAATAAGAAAAACTTTATTTGACACAAAAAGGGAAAAATAAAAAAACAGAACAAAGGGACTTAAAACTATACACGCATATTTTGTGCCAAAAAGGCGCCCGCTCAGCATTAATCGAGCCACGCGTGCATGCACGCGTGCCCCGACGCTGGTTTTCAGCGGGTGCCTCTCCAACCAACATTATAAATTTAAAAAAAAATAACATTATACAAAACAAAACAAAACATTGACAAACATTGACAACATTGACAAAGAGGGCGCCACTAACTCACCGCACAACATTAATAAGAAAATTAATAATATAGAATGACGTTTACCGCTACAAAATTATTTTGATCCACATTCAGACTAGCTATAAATTTACCAAATTATCAGTTTTATCGGAATTAATTAATTATCAAATCGAGTCACACGACATCGCTCGATTGCTTTGCGATTGCAGTACATTGCAGTACGATGATACGATTATTTTTACGTTGCGGCAATCACTAAAATTCGCTAAAATGACACTAATGACGTTTAAAAAGCGGCACGCTCGTCCCCATAGAAAAATTATACAAATTT